ATGACAATTATAAAAATCAATATAAAAAATGTATTAGTATTCAAATATAATATGAAACAAATTATATATTTATAAAAATAGTTTTATATTTCAATTATATCATTATCATAGATTATATTTTAAAGAATGTTAATCCTATATCAACAAAAAATAAATATGATGCCATAAATGTGATGCTAAGTACAGTGTTAGGGACAAAACGTTAAGAGAACAACAAGAGAAAGATTAATGTACAATTATAACCAAAAAGGGGTTGAATAAATTCTCTGAAGAGTAAAAAAAGGAAAAAAAAAAGAAAAAGAAAAGAGAAGAAAAGAGAAAGTTAAAGTTGGAAGCAGTTTATCCGTGTAATACTCTTTCCAAGCTAAAAGCCACTCCTTTTCCCTGTACAAAAGGGGTCGCGTTGAGGCCATGGTAATCACTGTACGTGTTTGTTAATCATTTGTATGTGTCTACAGTGCCCTATTCTCTCTCTGAAATCTCTTGTTGGTGGAACCTTGTTTTTTTTTTATTTTTTTTTTTAAGGGACGAACGAATTCATTTATTTCACTGCTCGGTTTTTTTTTTCTTTGCGTGGGAGAGAAGAGGAACATCTTTTTTTTTTATTTTTATTTTTTTTTATTATTCTTTTTCTTTTCTTTCGTTATTATTTTTTCTTTTTCCGAATACTTAGTCATCGGGCTGGTGGATGACTCGTTTTCTCGTGCCAATCGGTAGCACTAAACTAGTAGTTTATATTTAAAGTTAGCGATGAACCACCCAAGTCATCACTTTTTTCTTCTTTTTTGGCTGATATGTTTGTTTTTTTTTTTTTGTTTCTTTTCATTCTTTTTTCCTTTTTTTTTTTTTGCGGAGTTCGCGAATAACACGCAGCCCGTTAACACACGTTTCGAGAATCTTTTACGTAACACATCTCAATCTCGTATATAATTTTCTTTTATTTGTCTTTTTTTTTTTTGTTCTTCCCCTCTCAATAAAATAAAAAAACGAAGTACTTTTCGTAAATATATTCGACGAAAGATTTGAAATAAAATCATTTCTGTTATATTATTACAATATTATAAACATAATTAAAATCGAAAGATATATATATATAAAAAAAAATATCTATTGCATAACATATATATATATATATTATAATAATAAGGTTAAGGGGTTAAGGTTTGAAAGAGTTTATATTTTTTGTTTTCATTTAACGAAATATTATTTACCGATATTTACGCGTTGCTTAGAAATTCAATACATGGTTTTCCTTTATTATTTCTTTTAATGTTTAAAAGAAGTAAAAGATAAAGATAAAGAGAGAGTGAGAGAAAGAGATAAAAGATCAACGAAATATGGTGGTTCATTGATCTAAAAAAGAAAAAAAAAAAAACAGTAATACAAGCGGATCTGAACGGTCATAAAATTAATAAGCGCAATGAACGTTAACGAGACTCATAAATATGTTCACTCTACGCCCTGCTTATCCGCCGATTAGCATAATCATTCGCGATATCCATACTCTACGATTGAAAAATTTCTCGACGTGTATCGCACCACCCACCAGACATCTCTCTTCTTTCTTTCTTTCTTTCTTTTTTTCTCTTTCTCTTAGAATGATTTATATTGCTCTGTATCACAATGCACGACGATAAATCCTTGTCAACGAGTTTGAAACAAACGAGATGATAGATCAACACACAAGTAAAAAAATAATAAAAATAAAAATAACTTTTTAACTTGTCCCATCGCTAATAATAATAAAAATAATAATAATCGATTAAAAATATAGTTAAGTAAGAAACATTATATTCTCTAAATGAATATATTCCAAAAAAGGAAATTAAGTTTAATGTAATATTATTCATTTGATCGCATGAGAAACATTTATTTTTAAATACTATTATTTTAAATAAGTTTTATACAATTATTATCATTCGTATTATTTTTCTCACATTAGAAATATTAGAATTATTTTTATACTTTTCGATTCTAATTGTATTTGTAATATATTAAAATAGTCAATGTTAATATTTTTCATTTGAATATTTGAATAAAATATAACACACGCGCACGCATGCATATTTATAATATACATAAACCAATAAATATATCGAAAAACAACCTACGTGATGATTAAAATCTCAAGAAAGATAATTTCCAATCAAGATAATCGATCAATATAAAATTTATCTTACAATTTTTTGTAATTGTATAAATAATCGTTGATTATTCTATAACAATTTTTTAACACGAGTTTCTACGAATTTTCATTTCCGTTATGTTGTTTTTTTCTTTATATATTTTGTAAAAATAAAATAATATTATCTTAATTGAATCATTACGAATAAATGAAATATATATGTATATATATAGTATAGTGTAATGATGGGTTAAAATATTATACATAAGGGTTTGCAATCAGGAACCAATTAGAGAGAAAAGAAATCTAAGGTTATATTCTCATCCTCTAATTACACGTCGAGAATTCGCCCCTATCTTAACATGTTCATTATTAAAGAGTGTACCTGTTCCTTCGTGTATATCTTTATCCTCTTATTAACGTATCAATTACCTTAGGCGATTTAGCATAAGCGTAGGTGTACAAGATTCGTACTTTAACGAGATGTACTTTTCCATGAGATTTTTTCTACAAAAAAATTATTTCTTATACATAATACAATACAACACCGTAAAGTAATGTTAACCTTGTTTAACAATTATTTATACACGTCGTAATATGTCATGAATATATAATTTCTCTTCTTTGTTTTTTTTTTTGTTTGTTATTATAAAAAAAGAAAGGAGAATAATTCAACGGTGAGAAAATTTTTGAAATTTAACATAAGCGTAGGTGTACTGAGATTTGTTTCCTTGACATTTAAAAAAGAATTATTTTTGTGAAGCTACTGTGGGACTAAAAAATTTATACAATTCATATTTGTCATATATATATATATATATATATATATATATATATAATTTTGGTTAGGTGAAAATA